AACATTTAGCTACAATCAAACGATAGCAGCTTGTCATACTTGAAATTGAAAGCATTACAAACAGTGCATGTCGTATAATCGATGGTACAGAATGACATTTAGAAAACATGGTTACCTCGTTAACAGATTAATATTTGTCGATTTTTATTGATAGTCAAGGCCTCTATTTCAGTTCGATTGCTTCACCATTTTACCGTCATTGTATTGTTCCAACCGTGTATAATTTTCCACGACCAATTACCCCACAAAGCATGCAGCTGAAACGCCCTACTTGAACTTGTTCACCATGTGCATCAAGTTTTGTAGTCACGATATCTCTGCGCAATCAACCGGCTGTTTCATTTCGATACAGGTGTAGTTGGTTGTATTTGCGCGTTTGCTCTTCGTCAACGTTGAATAATTTATGTCACAGAAATACCCTCGTTCTTTCTTTATGAACATCAACGTCGGTACGATCCAACGGAAAGATTGTATCATTTCATTATGTTATTACCTATTATTCACGCGTGGTGTGGCAGGTGGAATTTGAACATTATTATAGCGTCAGCAGGGATTATAGAGGTCATAAGACATAACTTCATAATTAGTTGCTTTTCATCCACAGACATTGGCATGTGAAGATCATACTTAAATATGTTAAAGTTACATTGCAGCAACGTAGATTGTTTACAATTTACAGTGCATATAATGTGTACAATAAAACCAAAGAAACGTATATATATTTTTAGACACTTATTTTTGTACTATTTAAAAATGTGGAATTTTAAGACATTTGGCTTATTTGGTAAAATCTAGGTAACAAATAATATATATCGCCGAAATCGGCGAGTATAGTCATGGTGCTGTCAAACCTAAAACCCTAATCAGGGCGCCCAGTTTTGACTTACCAAGTGCCTTAAAGTGAGTGAGTGAGTGAGTATGGTTTTACGCCGCTTTTAGCAATATTCCAGCAATATCAGCCAGAAATGGGCTTCACACACTGTACCAATGTCGGGTATCGAACCCGGGTCTTCGGCGTGACGAGCTAACGCTTTAACCACTAGGCTACCCGACCACCCCTTAAAGTGAGTATATTCTTAGACATGTTAAAGGTGATTGATCCCACAAGATATAGCTGAGAACTGTCTCTCCGACGGTAATGGGTGATGATTTTGATAGTGTTACTGGGGAATGTTCGGTACCATCATTTGCTCCAGCGTTCTAACTGTCACGCGTCTCAACTGCTCCATGACTGTGCTTACATATCGACTCCCTGTATTTAGTTTTTAATCGGTAACATGCATTCTACTGTGGTCCAAATTTATCAGCTTTTTCATCTATTGTTGCAAGCTTGACTGATTTCTTTACACAATAAAAACTCTAATTGATGATGAACTACTGAGTCATTTAAGCACCTGTATTATTAGAACATACAAACTTAAAGTAAAGCTGTCATGTTATATGTAGTCCAACAAGCTGGTAATAACTTCGTCGCAATATAGCTGAAAAATTGCTGGTGTGACGTAACATTTAACCTCACTCACAGACAATATATATTTCTTGAGAGAGTAGGACAAATCCCTATATTTGGCCGTTTACCGTCAGCAAAAATCCAAGATGGTTGTTACTGACCTAATATGAGTCCGTATACCGTCAGTAACGGCCATTTTGGATTTTCCAACACCCACCTCACATATTTTACATGACAATATGTGAAATATAGAAATTCGTCATTCGACACTGTTTTGTGTTTTAATGTCATTAAATGTGATGTCCGCTCGGACAATACCCCGCACTGACATTTCCCTATACTGGTAATATAAATAATTTATATTCATTTATATTAACAATTTGACCAAAATGTCCCCAGTTGTAAGTAGTCACAGATACACACTGATTCTAATCGTGTGATGTATATGGTCCTTACGTGGACTTGGAATGCATTGGCTACTTGCCGGGCGGTTTGGCAAGCTTGCAATCGTCCAAGGGCTTGGTGTCGCTGATTTCTTGTCAATCTTGGCATGTGGTAGCAATTCAATTACGAATGTATGATATCCGATCTGGGTGGCTTTTTATAGGGCAAGATATGCGACTACGCATGTGCATTTCAATCTGCACGGAACTCACGTGCATCGGGTTACCAGGGCCGTTGCCGTGATGCGTTTGTTCGATCGGTTATATTGTCATTGACAAAAATTACCCAGATATTTAAATGAAAATTTATCATGCAATGTTACTTGGGGTGACGTTTCTTTTGCGGTTCAGTATATAATTAATACATGTACTGGGAACGTCATTGTAAATTGTCAAATGCACCTGTGATTGTCTAATTCATCCCCAACAATCGCGGTGGCAGGAGTCCTGTATATCAAGGTTTTAAGTACTTAAATTAGGAATTTAACTTGCGCTTTCCGACATATGCGAATTTGGGTATGTCCAAAAAGGTGAGGCAACCTTGGTGGTGCTTTTTAGGGTTGCTTACTTAATTTTAAATATGCCATACAAAAGGTGGAGGGGTGGTGGGGGGTGGGGGGTTGGGGGGGTTGGGTTGGGGGGGGGGGGGGGGGGGGGGGCGACTAAAAGGAGTTTGTGAGTTTTTATAGGTTTAGAATTTTAGGGTTTATTTGCAGCTTGTTTGTTGTACTTGTATTTTTTAAATGCGGCCAATTAGGTCTGTTTTGATTGGGTATATGCCTCGCTCTTTAAAGGTTTGTAAGTCATTTAGGGGGGTGAGTACCGTTGCAAGTGTCATTTGATTGTTGCAATTTAGTGAGGATTGGAGTGTTGTTCTGTGTTGCTGGTAATGTGTGCAATAATATTACGTGTTCAGGCGTTTCTTTTAAGTTGCAGTGGGGGCATTTACCGGTTTGGTATTTTTTAATTTGGTGAAGGTGGGAGTTGAACTTGGTGTGGCCTGTTTGTAGTTTAGTAACCATTGTCGTGACATTGACTATTATATACGATAGTTTAGTAGAAATGTAAAGCCAAAAGAATGAATGAGACGACCACTGTTGTCTGTCTCCCAATCAGCAGGAGACGTTACCCCGACAAAGAATGCATGAACCTGTTGGTTGACTTCCTTCCATCAGCGTGACAGGATTACCCAGAGAGAAAGAGAGGATTAAAAAACTTAAGATATCGTTTCTGCATGGTATAAGTATTCACATCAATTTCCTCTAATAATAAACTGTATTCTTTGGTGTTCCCAAGCAGCAATACTCAGTATGCGCATTGGGCAACTGTTATAACCACAAACCCTAAAGATATTCTGTATACATTTTGTACACGCCAGTTGATTGTTAAGACCACAAATTCTATCTACAACCGGACAACATGGTAGTTTATGTTCATTTCCAATATCCTCTTATAATGTTAATGGTAACTGGTAGAGTCCCCCACAAAGCTTCCTCTTATTAATTCTTACCAAAGCAAAATAAAACATGGGGTGTGAGGAAATGGAACATATCCCTAAGTGAGAAAATAAAACACTAGTGGTGGTGATTGCTCTAGCATAATTGTACTATCTGAAGCATAAAGTTGGCGAACGAACATCATTATATTTCGAATCACCTGGAATGATTTATATAGGCAAAAACTCAAACGACAATTTCCGCAATCCACAAACACAATCACTTTATTAATTGCGAACATTTTCCGACCCGCGACGATAGTGTCAACTCGGTGCTTTCCGAAACAATTAACGCGTATCTAAATTCACTCCATGTTCTACTGTCGGCTTGTCACAACGGCTAGGCTTGGACCCTAGTGGAACGGATCACGGTCCTAGTGGAACGGATCACGGTCCTAGTGGAACGGATCACGGTCCTAGTGGAATGGATCACGGTCCTAGTGGAACGGATCACGGTCCTAGTGGAATGGATCACGGAGTGGAAACCCAGTCCCGTGTTACACGCATGGCACGCGCAGGCTCAACGGGTTACACACGCGCTGCACCCCCGGTGCACACCCGTGCCACATGCGTGTTACACGCGTTTTCAACGCGTGTAAGGGGAATCAACTTCTGGACAGTAGTGTACATGTATCTTCGTTAATTGATCTGATTCCAATGTGTCGCAAGCTTCTGCATGCTGGGCCCAAGTTTTAAGTTTCAAGTTTTATTTAACGTCAAGCTCAGTAAACATTCGTCAGCTTAAATATCTCGTCAACTTTGTTCACTCCATCTGGTGTGCAAATACAGCTTAATCAGGGCGTCCCGTGCCCGACGATCGCGTGGTTGACAACTAATATCACCTAGCCTTGCTGATCATCGTGTACTGGCCGTTTCATGAACATCTGGGTGTCTGCTTTGCAATCCTTTAATAGGGTTGGTTGGTTGGCTGGTTGGTTGGTTTGTTGTTTAACGCCGCTCTCAGCAATATTAAAGCTATATGACGGCGGTCTGTAAATAATCGAATCTGGACCAGACAATCCAGTGATTGATATCATGAGCATCGATCCACGCAATTGGGATCGATGACATGCATCAACTAAGTCAGCGAGCCTGACCACCCGATCCCGTTAGTCGCCTTTTACGACAAGCAAAGTCACCTTTAACGGCAAGCATGGGTTGCTGAAGACCTATTCTACCCCGGAATCTTCACGGGTACGAAGCTTTGTATGAATAACACATATGTCGAAGTGTACATACATGTCAGTGTACATTAACAAAACTTATATTGTTTCACCGACATAATATGCTACAAGGTTCGTGATTGGTCAAATTTAAGCACGTGACCTAAGGCAGCCAATCAAATTACAGAAACGGTACTGTCCTCGCATATGATAATTTTCAGACTCTGACGAAAGATTTGGGTTAAATCATGTTATTCTGAACGTTTCAAGCATGAAATCGCGATCTATATTGAAAATATGGAACTTCGTGGATGCATAGAGCCAAGAGTCCATTTGGACTTTGAAAGAGGCGCAACCATAAACCAAGAGATAAATATGTCGCCTAATGTACTGTCTTTGTGTCTTAGCGAAGTCAGAGGATAATGCCATATATGGTGCTTCCTCTTCAGTTTACAACAAGAAATATGTGTGCCTGTTCGCGCCTGTCGTCATTCTCTTGCTGGTGATGTGCTGGCACAGACACGAATCAACGCAAAACTCTATGTCGTATACAGACAACATGACAGAATTTCCTGGTAATATTCAATTTTATTCATTCAACATTTCTGATTGCTTTTTCACTTGAATGTTATTCATTATTCACCATGGGATCATGGGATCCCTACACGGTTAAGGGACGCAAATCTGTCTTCATAATTCTCGTATATCAGAAATTAGATCAATAAGGTTTTTTTTAAGTTGAGGAAATATATTTGAAATTTCTCTTTTTTCAGGTAAAAAAGTCGACGAATCCTTTAGAAAACTGTTGAATCTCTATCAGAAGAAACTTGAAGGTACGTCAGTAACACGTGTATTATGTACATACGTGTACGCTAGATTTGTGTTACGATTTCAATTTCAGTACTTTTGTTGTTGGATGGGTTGAAATATTTATCAAAATAAATTAACAAATTTGTTATAGACAAAGGTAAAATGACAAAAAACTCGCATACAGGTATTACCCTACCTTCTTTTCTCCGTACCGCTTACCATACTAAATTGTTAAAATAACTATCACTGTTCGGGCCTTGTATTATGGATAGCAAACATACTCGCTTGTTCATTCAGCAGGGAAGAGTGCAACAAAGTGAGTGAGTGAGTTGGGTTTAACGCCGCTTTTAACAGTATTCCAGTTACATCACGGCGTGTCAGCTTAATGTTGGAGGAAAGCCCGAAGTGATGCAGGTCTCAGACGTCTACCGCTTCGGTGAAACCCACGAACACGGGTATGGTGCTGACAAACCTAGAAACAATCTGGGCGAACAGGGATTCGAACCCACAATCATAGGTTTCTGGCCAGCGATTCGTTGCGCCTTAGACGACTGGGCCACCCGTGACCCCCCGATTAGTTGGTATTATGGAAAGGGTTTCTTGGATTTTATTTAGGTAAGGAACCAAAGCATTTCGGATACGAACCCACAATCATAGGTTTCTGGCGTGCCCAAGGGACACAACCCTGCACAGCGAATCGCGGCGCCGTAGTCGAGTGAGACACCCGTGACCCCCTGAGAGCATCAGAGTGAGGCATTTCCAGCAGGAGAGAAAGCTTCGTTGGTTGGATTGCCCTATACAGTTGGAGGGATGTATCACAGTGTGTACTGGCATATCCGGAAAGAGAGGCGGTACCACAATGCGGACTAGCATATATAATAGGGGAAGCATCCTAATGTGGGCTGGGATATCCAGTAGATGAGGACCCGTGACGATACGGGGAAGAATAGGTCTTTTGCAACCCATGCTTGCCGTAAAAGGCGACTATGCTTGTCGTGAGAGGCGACCAACGGGATTGGGTGGTCAGGCTCGCACGCTTGTTTGATGCATGTCATCGTTTCCCAACTGCGTGGATCGATGCTCATGTCAATCACTGGATTGTGAGGTCCAGACTCGATTATTAACAGACATTCCTTAAACTTGCATGTGGTCTTAGAAATGCGACCCCAAATTTTATGGTTTATGGAGAACTAGGTAGAATACCTTTGTCGATTTATGCAGCTGAACGGGTGGTTGACGTTTGGTATAAACCCGTACCTGCACCGAACCAATCACAAATTATTTATAAGTTTGCTCATTTGCAATTCCTATCTACCAATTAACAAAATGACTGGATAAGAAATGTGAGGTAAATCCTTATTAAGTGTGGTCTTGAGGCGTTTCCAGCCAGTGGCTAACTGCTCCGATAGAAAAAAAAAACTTTAAAAGATCAGTTTTATCAAAACTGGATATCTGACGTCGAGAGAAGTTCAAAAGTGTATTATTATAAATCTTTAAAAGATATCCCGTCATTTGAAAACTTTCTTCTATCTAAACAAATGTATTATCCTACTCTAAAACATAGAACATGTAACCATAATCTACCTGCCAAAGTTGGCCGTTGGCTTGGTATAGATAGAGAATTTTGGACATGTAAACTGTGTATGTTGCCAGCTGTAGCCGATGAATTCCACTACCTGTTTAAATGTGAAGCGCCCCGTGAATCTAGATCTAAACTAATCTCAATAAATATGTGCAATATCTGAATATATAAGAATATATTCAAAAAAATATATATTTTCCAGAAATGTAACAGAAATTAAGAACCTTGCAAAATTCATATGTATAATAGATAAGTACCTTTGAGTGTAACTTTGTATATGTTTATGTGAGTGTTTCTGTTTAAATGTTCATACAAATCTTCAAGGAAAATGTTTATCGCCAAAGATTTGTACAGTATAACCGACAAAGAAACTTTTTCTTTTCTTTCTGGCTATTTTTTAGAAATATATGATGATAATAATGATGATGATGATGATGTATGTGTGCATGCGTGCTTGCTCGGGAGATGAAAAGTATGGATTATATACAAGGTGTACTCCCGAACACGATCACATGTATAGTGTTTGTTAACACGCCGTGATATAACTGGAATATTGCTAAAAGCGGCGTCAACACCAACTCATTCACTAACTTAATGCAATCGATCTATTTCATAAAAACGTTTAGTCTTAAACATCATGAATCAATCACCAAGAAGAATAGACATAAGGTCCCTATAGTCCATATAGCCCGTTGATGTCAATGCTTCTAGCCAAGTCGAACTTCAACCTTGGACTACTCTCTCTTGATAAACTCTTGAACTGATATGCGTTCGTGTAATTATTTGTGGAGGAGGACAGTAAGCACTGAGACGAGCTGACTGCTTATCGATGCATTCAGCAATATTCTAGCTTTTTGACTCCGATCTGTAAATAATCGATCCCGGACCAGACAATCCAGTGACTAATCCCATGAGCATCGATCTACACAGTTAAGAAACAATGACATGCATCAACCAAATCAGCGAGCCTGATAACCTGATCTCATCAGTCGCCTCATCAGACAAAAATTCTAACCCGGATCTTCACAGGTTTTGTTTCATATTCATCTATTAATCTTTTGTCAATGACATATATATCTGAGATACGGCACAAATTGTCTGTAAGGATATTGATAAAAGATATTTTATATTTACAGCGTTGCAGAAGTCCAACCTCTGGTCGACTATTCCAGAAACACCTACCTGCAAAAAAGACATGCATCCATGTGAGGCTTAACATTGATTGTTTAATAATGAAATATATGTTCATAATCAAATGCTCTTAAGAGTAGCCGGTTCGCCCCGATTATGTTTCTTGGTTTGTCAGCACCATATCCGTGCTCGTGGGTTTCACCGAAGTGGTAAACGTCTGAGACCTGCATCACTTCGGGCTTTCCTCCCACATTAAGCTCATACGCCGTGATATAACTGGAATACTGTTAAAAGCGGCGTTAAACCCAACTCACCCACTCACTCACTTAAGAGTAGCATAGGTGACAAAGGAATAGGCAGAAAAGATAATGGAATTGAACGCAAGGTGAATACCAGTTTCACAATGAGCGACATGCGAAGAATAGAGCCAACGGACAGCAACGTAACAGTAAACCAGCGTTCATGGTTAATAGACTGACTGAGTATGGTTTTACGCCGCTTTTTTGCAATATTCCAGCAATATCACGGCGGGGGACACCAGAAATGGGCTTCACACACATGGTTAATAGAAAAAACGCAGCTGCCTATAAATGTACTTGCTTGTTGTTGTTTGTTTCTTTGATGTTTAACGCCGCACTCGGCAATATTCCAGCAATATGACGGCGGTTTGTAAAAGAATCGCATCTGGACCTCACAATCCAGTGATTTACATCATGAGCATCGATCCACCCAGCTAGGATACGATGACATGCATCAACCAAGTCGAACCGACCACCCGATCCCGTTAGTCGCCTCTTACGATAAGCATGGGTTGCTGAAGGCCTATTCTACCCCGGATCTTCAAGGGTCTGAAATGTACATGCATTGAGACGTTATCTATCTACACAGGTGGATGCCTATGTTGGTTGGTTATTCTATCAAAGGACACAACAACGATGGTTCACAGACAGCACATAGATTCATCATAGCCGACAGAACAATGCCGCCCAAGATCGCTAAATCCGGTTGCAACATCTACGTGAACGAACAAAAAAAACACAACATCCACAATTACCCCAATTCCTGGGCTTTCAATTCCATTTCACAAAAAAAGTTATTTACACATGACGTCTCGAGTGAAGCAGGTATCTTAATGGTCGATTTGGGGTGGTTGACAGATAGCATACATTCCAAAAGGCAAATAAGACCTCACGGGCTACAATGCACGTACGGACTCGCCTTTTCATTGATGTCAGTCCTTTGGTGAATCTGTTGCCACTCGTCATTCAGTTGATGGATCTGTTGTGGATGCGGACACCTCCTGATCTGACGGGCCAAATGATCCCACCAGTTTTCAATGGGGTTTAGGTTGTGCGCAGCCAAGAAATCCTGCACGACCCTTGCAGTGCGCGACCTGTCGTTGTCATGCCGTAAACGTGGTACCAGTCGCTGCTGGTTAAGGAGTGGTAACAGCACTGGTTGAACAACGTCATCCCTGTAGATCTGGATGTTGAGGTTGCCATGTCCCGAACGTTTATGCCACGAATTCCTCCCCAAACCATCGCCCCATTGCAAGTATACGGATGCACTTCCTGAATGCAGAATGGCACCTATCGCCTCCTCTCAAGCAACAACATATCCGAGCAAGACCATCAAAAAAGAATAAGCAGATGCCATCTTTGACGTTGAGGTTCATGGGTAAGGCCACTCCACGGATGGGGAGGTTGGCTGGAAATACCTGCGACACGGAGACGTCGTAGCACAGTGGGTCGACTGATGCGCCGACCAAACGCTGTTGCTACCGTTTCTGTCGCTGTGGGGAACGTGTTGCGCGCATGCAAAGTGTGCAAGTCCCTGATCATGCCCTGTTTTGTGTTGTACCACTGTCTAACGATGGTTGCAGAGTCCACGATTGAAGTGTTTTTTCAATCTGTGTGTGGTTGGCTCCCATTTGCCGCATTCTTTAAAATAGGGTTCGGCGTTGGTTCGGGTTGTGGTTTGGACAAAACGTTTGCAGTGTTTTGTCGGCTGTTTTCAGCCTAGTAACAATTTGATAACGTTTGTTATTGATGGTCAAATCCAATTTTAAAGTGTGTACCTTCTTTTGCACGGCACTTTTTAGTATAAAAAAATGTTTAAATGGTGTATATAAATTGATACCTCATAACTAATTATTGTGCAAGAATCCCACGTTTACGTCATATATAAAACTTTTACAATATTATATTTGTGCATCTTTTGTTGATTTTTAGCATCTCAATGTGTTGATCCAGAATGTCATCAGGATTTGCCAGAACGGCCTGTAGTCAGACTCCAGAATGTTCTCAGCTCTATACGCCCAGAGGATATGACAACACTGAAAAGAATGAATCAGTTGGAGGAATTGCAAGTACAACCTACAGGAAAACGGATTCTCTTCCTTACGGCAGCATCGTCTAACCACTTTATGGAATCCCAAGCAATGCTGAAAAACTTTCATGAAATCATCCCAGCACACTTTAGTAATTATTCACTTAGGTACTATGATCTGGGACTTAAGCCAACAGAACGCGCTCAGGTATGTAAACCATAACTATCCTTACTAGTATATCTTCATTCCTTGATACATGTTTAACACCCACTTACAATCACAGATGCGTTGCGAGTCTGGTTCGATTGACATGATTCCACCATTAGCCTTCCAATAGAAATAAACAGTATTATAAATAAATGTATTTCATTCACCTTGTGTCCAATCTTGAGCCATTTTGAGTTTGTTACGCTGTTGCGATGCAGCTGATTTGGAGCCAGGAATCTGTTGAAAAGCTGCTGATTTAGGAGTTAGAATCAACCCGTTCGGGGCTCGTTGCTTCTACTTCCGGAATCAGCAGCTTCTCATTGTGGTCTCCATCATAAACACATCTGGGAACACCTTGAAGGTCTTTTCTCATACTTACTGTTCTTAATCCTCAGTATCACATCATTTCCACCTTAAAGTTCATATTATTATCAAATTTTTTATACCAAGGATTAATCTCTTCAGGCCGGGGTTGTGAGTCGCGTTCGAAAGAAGTATTTTGATTAGTTGTTGATTGCAAGATCACGAGCGGTAGAAAATATGTGCAACGTCGGTTAAAGAAACACTGAGGTCGTGGCGTCACTTGCCACAATCAAGGATGGTGAAAAGTTTGTTTCTGACAGTAGTCGGACAATTTCTTATTTATTGGTAGTTTCTTATTTTGAACAATCCACTAAATACGAGAGTTACGTGTTGTTTTTCTGCGTTATATTTAATGCAAACTGTTCGAAATTGCGTCCATAAGGCGTGCTAGAATCCTGTAGTCGTGGGTTAGAATCCCAGATTCAGCAAAATATATGATATTTGGTAGGTCAGCCCATGTCCTTGCCATTGGCTTAACCAAAGAGGTAAACGTTTAAGACCTTCATCGCTTCAGGCTTTCCTTTTCTTTGAAGCTAAAACGTCTTGGTATGACTGAAAGTGGTGATAACCCTACTCACCCCTGACACATTGAGCATCTGTTTCAGCTGGAAAAGCATTGCAAATGTGATGTTAAAATCTTCCCAGTGCAAAAGTTGGACCCATGGATGAGGCGGCTTAAATGTTACATTTGGAAACCCATCATAATACAGGTGAAGTGTTTGTTGTACTGCTTGAATGTGCATGGATGATTATTTGGATGATTTCTCCTGTTATCTATGAGACCGTCTTACTGGATACAACAACAGTTGCCAAAACTTTTTCCTGATCGCTGACAGACAAAATAAATGGCGCCGAAATATGATGCTCTATCTAAAGATCAGTATATCAACTGTCAAAACATATTCCTTAAAGAAAGAATGCGACCCCTCTCAGAAATTTAGAATTTCAGGTGTGTTATTAAAATATATTGAAAGCGTTCAAATGACTCAGAAAATTTTCAGTTTAAAATTTCAACACAAAGGTTTCATGACTACATGAATAAAACGTTTTCAAACTTCTCACGGAAGTCATGCTGTGGGTTGAGTTACAGCTTTTCTCGTAAAAAGGTCAACTTTGATGGCGGTTCATCTTAAAAGAAACTCAAGACGCCAAAGCCAGAGAACAGTCAGCCTTGATCATGATTATGTCGAAAGAGATGAAAATTATATAAATGGAGCACTGATAATCATGTGTTTGGGAAAAAAGAAAACAATTGTACATATTATTATGTATTCCTTATATATATTTACATGTTTGTTAATGAAATTACTATGGTGACTTTCAGGCCAATATAAAGGCTGCTGACATTGTGGTGTGGTTGGACGCTTCTATCAGGCTGCCGAAAGAGGGAATTGGGAAATCTGTCCAGGACGTCCTCCTGCAGGGGCTGACCATCGGAGGAGGAGGAGGACGTGCTTCACATTTTATTGACACAAGGATGATGAACTATTTCAATTCCACTCCGTGCATGTACTCCCCATTTACCATGGTAGAAGCCAACTTTATGATGTTTCATAATGACGAGTTTGTGAGGGATGCGATAATTGCACCATGGGCGACGTGTGCTGTTAATCATAATTGCATGTGTCCTGATAACTCGGTTCTTTATTGTAATCATGCCATCAACAAGTATGGGAAGTGTCATCGGTATGATCAAGCTGCAATGAATATGATTGCTATGCAATTGTTTGGAAAACATGTCGAAAGTTTACGACCTAAGAATCTTCAATATGAAATTAAAAGAGGGGACACTTTTCCATATTTCAATCATTTAGATTCCCAGTTAAAGACAAAAGGTGCCTGACAAGCAGCCCAGAGACTGTCCATATTTGATTATCATCCTCTTGAATCTGTTCTTTTGTGTGCTTTTGTTGCGATCTTATTGCATGAAATATCTTCAGGAAGACACTTTGTTGACGTTTTCATAGTTTTAATGAGTCATATGATGCTACCTTATGGCATCATTGATGGTTATGGGCTTTTTACGTTTGTAGTCTCCACGGGCACCGTGCCAATTGTTACTAGGTGAAATATCCATTAATGTCAAAACCTTGTGCAAGTGCTATACACATATTGCTTTAAAAGGCTCAGTGCATGAACTGACCTTGCCTTAAAGAAATTCTAAAGCTGAACAAATTGATAAGAATATACACCTTGGAAAAAGTAAAGTGCCACCTGAAAAAGTAATTGTCACAATCATATCTGTAATGTCACGAACAGCTATCCTAAGCTAAGAATGTAAATGTTTGATGCATGTGTAGCAGGTTGAAATCAGGAAGTCAGTATGGTTTAACACCGCATTTAGCAATATTCCAGCAATATCACGGCGGGGGACATCAGAAACGGGCTTCACAAATTGTACCCATGTCGGTTATCGAACCCGGATCTTAGGTTTGACGAGCGAACGCTTTAAGCACTAGACCGCCCAAGGTTGAAATCAATCCCTTCAACATTCACTCTTGGGTGCTTTAAGCATAGGCTCAGGTCACTCTCCTCGCCCAAATAACCACTGTGGCCTCAGAGCGTTGGGCTCAAATTACTCCCCTACATTTTTGCAGCATTCTACTTCTCCATACAGTTCTAAAGGTTCCAGATGTTCATGTGACCTTTTTGCCTGAAAAGGTAGAAACGGGTTGTTCATCTGTGGACTTGCACTGTTGACATTCCAGAACATTCAATCAAGCATGGATATTTGAAATAGTAAATGTTTATATTAGTCATGGGAGTCATTTGAACCTGGTGGAGTGCTCTGACCCTACGGGGTGTGATCTGAGCCTTAACTTAAAACCTTCTAGAGAGATTTGACACTTGGACTGAGTTGCACCGGTTCTAACGCACACAACATGTGCATGGAGCGACTGAAGCAAGCCACCCACTTTATTAAAATCGCTCTATCAGTCAACGCTTATCCAATTAGAAACTGGAACCGGACACTAAATTCATGTTCCTCAAGACTCGAAGTTTGGCGAATATTTGGCATGGGTAATACCGAAATGTCCTTCAGAGCTGTTTACCGTCAACAGATTGGTACAGCAACACCGAGGTAAAGGATTATCCAAACATTCTGGGGCGTTGGGTGGGGGTTGAGTCGCATAAATTTGCAAACACTAATTTCAAGAGATTTCATGTACCTTACTTGGAAATGTTCCGATCTTACCATTGCGAATAGAATATGATAATACTATATCAAACCTGAACACCTATCATAAGTGATCTTAGTAATCTTAACGAAAGTATCAAATTGTAATTTAAGGGCGATTACTCTGGATGTCATGATGTCTGGTCAACAGTCCGCTTGCATTATTGATAACGATATTGTAGATTCTAAAAATATTAACAATATTAAATTTATTTCGTGGAATGCATTCGTGGTCACAACTGGTCCCTCGGGAGTTTCATATTAATGGATGACTGATAAGCAGTGATGACACCAGGTTTTCGCAAAAAATAAGTCACAGACAGCTGTTACATGCAGTCCATGGTGTATCGATGATCTTGGATAATGTTAATCTGGACGATTAACACTTTCCCCAGGTGAAATTCACTTTCATGTCTGAGATCAACTTAATTTTCACGGTTACACACAAAATAGTTTGCAACATTATGGTTTGGTTTTGCCAACATTTTCTTCTGTAGTGTTCATACCTATCTATCAGAAACAAATAAAGCAAAGCAAATCTATCTCTGCTTCAGCGTTTCATGTAACAAGTGTTCAACACGATAATAACAATGTTAATTAAAACAAAGGAACGTTTACGCATCTACCAGAAAGCCGAATGTCGCCAGACCATGCTGGGAAACCTCTACAATAACAGTGAACGATTTGACAAATGTGCAGATGTGATTAATGTTGGTAACGATTGAAAAATTACAATACATGAATTGACAAATCATTACGTGGCCATGTCCTGGATGTAAACTATGGATTAACAATACATGAAAGCCACCTAGCGTTCAATCTGTAAAAATGTACTTGACACTTGTCGGATTAATATGGAAGAAAAACCTCAAGTGATGCAGGTCTCAGAAGTTTACCACTTTGGTGACACCCACGAGCACGGGTATGGCGCTGACAAACCTAGACACATAATCGGAGCAATCCGGGATTCGAATCAACGATTTATAGATATCTGGCGTGCCCAAGGGACGCAACTCTGCACAGCGAATAGCTGCGCCTTAGTCAACTCGGTCACCTGTGCCATCGGCCTTGGTAAGACATATTTTAGCGAAATAATATAATGACGAGCTCCTGCCTCCGTTTCGATGAAAAGAGAGAAATCTTGCAAAATAACGTTCCACTGTTATATTATAAGGAAACTTAAACCGTGAGTATTCGGGGTGGAATAGGTCTTCAGCAACCCATTCTTGCCGTAACAGGCGACTATGCTCGTCGTAAGGGGAGATTATCGCTGACTTGTTTGATGCATATTATCGTATCCCAATTGCGTGGATCAATGCTGGTGATGTCAATCACTGGATTGTCTGGTCCATAAATGCCTCATACACGGACCAGGGGGATGTTTATTTGATACTACAGGTCATTCCTATGTGAAGTCTGACATATCTAGCCCGAAACTTCAGATGTAATATTGTTCACACAGATATCTCTGTTGACGTGATCATATATTCCATTGAATCTGTTGTTCATGCAGTGTTCGTACATACATGTATTTTCATTTAAACAGTACATCTTCTGTTGGTCATTCTGCCTTTGTGTGAAACAGGCTGTTTACATTTGAAACCCTCCTCTGACGAACAGCTTATTTGGGAAGTAAGGGTAAGTATTAATGGATGAACATCTTCTTTATTACAATTAAGAATCTTAATTGTAATAAAGAAGTTGTTCATCCACAAATTCATATCCTTACTTCGTACTCCAACTTCTAAATGCCTATCAAAGAAGTTTTTTGGGAAGTAGCCTGTCACAGAAGGTACTTATAGCTGTGTTGCGAACTGTGTTTTGGCACCTTTCTGAAGGAAAACAAGGATGCCAGAAGTGCCATTTGTTTAAATTACAGGCTAATTTTAAGTTTTCAAAAACAGCAACACTGCCGAAAATATTTTTGGCCAAAGGACATAAACTAGAAATGATGCATGTCGTAGACGCTTATCACTTTCTTTCAATTGAAAACAACAAGCACGGGAATGATGCTGACAAACCTAGAAATATCAGAGCCAAACACGAATTCGACTCACTGTAATAGGTTTCTGGCAGGCCCAAGGGACGCTGCACTGTAAAGCTATTGCAGTGTATCAGACAGCTGCCCTTGCCCCAGTACAATTTGGATGTAGCAAAAGTATCATTATATAATGATACAACCAAATACAACAGGCAGAATGCACTTGTATATATCTTTTGGTTGTTGGCTTGTTTGCGTTATAAACCAAAAAGATACAGTATATATTTTATTAATTAACTGTAACAATTAAAATAGATTTATCTATGTCTTTTTGAAACTCTACAGGGTTACTTACTGTGCCGAATAGTTATATAGGAAATCAAAGTTAGTATACATGTATGAATGTTTTCCTCAGATTTACGAGATGAAAACGCCACACGCATTGTTTCTTTTAGAAATAAAAACATATATCATAGTAAGAAGTCTGTAGCCATTACATTATCTTGCCCTGAAATAAGATATTCGTTACTGAATAGTTACAATCTATATCATTCCACTTGAGTCGCATTAATTTGCAGACGCACTAATTTCAAGAGATTCCATGTACCTTACTGGGAAATGTTCCCACCTTACCACTGCGAATAGAATATGATAATACTAAATCGAACCTGAACACCTATCAAATGCGATCTTAGTAATGTTAACGAAAGTATCAAATTGTAATTCAAGGGCGGTTGGATGTCATGATGTCTTGTCAACAATTCACTAGCATTATTGATAACGATATTGTAGATTCTAAAATATTAACAATATAAAATTAATTTCGCAAAATACATTCGTGATGTCAACTGGTCCCTCGGAAGTCGGTGTACCCTGTGTGCAAGCCTATGTGCCCTTCCGAGCGTGTCGACAATTATATATATATATATGATGTGGATAACGAGGTGGAATCCCCTACATATTGGGTTGGACACTTCAACAAAAGATGGTCTCAGGAAACGCAAAGTAGCATGAAAAATCCCATTCATTCTGCAGGAGACCCGTGAAGATCCGGGATAGAATAGGTCTTCAGCAACCCATGCTTGCCGTAAAAGGCGACTATGCTTGTCGGAAAAGGCGACTAACGGGATCGGGTGGTCAGGCTCGCTGACTTGGTTGATGCATGTCATCGATCCCAATTGCATGGATCGAGGCTCATGATATTAATATTATTTACAGACCGCCGCCATATAGCTGGAATACTGCTGAGTGCGGCGTAAAACAACAAACAATCAATCAGGGTGATGACGGAAAACAAAACTCAGGGGTGAAGTTTAAGACGACAGCAGCCATGTTTATTGTTGATGGTTTGGAATAGGTCGAAAAGGTACATGTTGATAATAACGTGACAGAACGCACACCGGGACCGAGTGGCCAATCTTCCAGGGTGGAGACTCGCACTGTCACCTACCTTCTGGCTGTCTCCCTGACTTACCATGTCAGTCGGGTTTTGTAGAGCGAGGTATTACGTAACGTGAGGAAAGGTCATTGTCCCACGTGTATGTATATACGTAAGATCCGGCGACGTAAGGAGGTGTTAATTGAAATTTATAGATAGCGCTGGAGATTAAGGGTCCTGCCCGGAGGGGCTTATGATAAGACGTGATACGCCGAATGTTTGCTGAATATATTAAACAGTCAAAGGGCATAGAATTTCGGTGCACTTGGAAACATATTGAACCAGTTAGGTATTTAGATAAATGAAATGTTAAATAAGTTTTGAAATGGTTTGCACTATTTTAAATAAAAGTATTCAAATGGTTTGCACTTTAACACTTGCAAGGTCACGACAAAATGGTGACTGTTTTCTTTGTATTCGTGTGTCGCATGACAGAGATACTACTGTGCGGCGTCAAGCAATAAATTCTTATCTTGTTATGACTTTGTGTGAAATTGGTGCTGCCGTACATGCTTAACCTTTTCGCGAACACCTTGTGTCATCGCTAATCTTAAGTGGTCCATTCATATAATTTTCACAGCTGTTTTTCTCCATGGAATCTGTTGCAGTGGATATTCTAGACTAGATGTTCTTTTGTATTGACAATTTATATATATTTTATGTTTCTCATAAATATTTCTAAATTATAGGCCCGTGACGATCCGGGGTAGAATAGGTCTTCAGCAACCCATGCTTGCCGTAAAAGGCGACTATGCTTGTCGTAAGAGGCGACTAACAGGATCGGGTGGTCAGGCTCGCTGACTTCGTTGATGCATGTCATCGATCCCAATTGTGTGGATCGAGGCTCATGATATTAATATTATTTACAGACCGCCGCCATATAGCTGGAATACTGCTGAATGCGGCGTAAAACAACAAAAAATCAATCAATCAAGGATCAATAAAGTCCGAGCAATTTGAAAACAAGTTTTCCAAACAATCTCACAAAGAGAAGGACCTTCTGTTCCTTGGTGTCATCCTTGTGCAGGAACCCGTGAAGATCCGGGGTAGAATAGATCTTCAGCAACCCATGCTTACCGTAAAAGGCGACTATGCTTGTCGTAAGAGGCGACTAACGAGTGGTCAGGCTCGCTGACTCGGTTG